TGAATGTGGTCGTTTTTAACTGCTAGGGAACGACTTAATTCAAGCAAAGATCGATATTTCAACTCGCTGGTACGTACTGTTAATGTTATAGGGTCCTGGTATCGGAACATTATGGTATATCCTAAACATTTCAATAGTTATAGGCCTGTCTGTGTGTGTTAATTGCTAACATGTATTGTATACGTGCCGGTGACAAAGCGCTCATTTGCCACGCGTGTGGGCATAAAGGTCATTATATTATAATGTAGGAATGTACGGAGAGGAAAGCCATGTTGATGATCGTTTGCCGTTTAATTATCATGTACATGGCTCATCACGTGCATCGTTACCGCACGTGCAGCGCCAAAGTTATCGTGATAACAATCAATTACAACATGACGGAGCACTGTTGTGGAACCTTTTGTATATAAACATTATCTTACATATCTGTGTGTGTATGTGCGCGAGTTTGTGTGCTGACAAATTACATGTATTCCTGTCTAGTTTACTACTTACATGTATATATACTACGTATATTAGAGGTTTTGCTACCTTAAAATAGCCCTGTGGTAAATTTTCTAAAATTATTATAGGATGCATGAAAATTGACCTACAGCAGACCACGTATAAAATCGGACACAGCGAACATTGAATGTAGTATCAAACCAAACCAAACCTATTCTTTCAATAATATGTCTACCAGGAACTTTCATCGAAAATTATGTATTGTATACCACAGAACCACACACAAAACCTTGTACATTGTATACCAGAGACCCACACAAAACCTTGTACATTGTATACCAGAGACCCACACAAAACCTTGTACATTGTATACCAGAGACACACACAAAACCTTGTACATTGTATACCAGAGACCCACACAAAACCTTGTACATTGTATACCAGAGACACACAAAACCTTGTACATTGTATACCAGAGACACACACAAAACCTTGTACATTGTATACCATGGTTTCACACAAAACCTTGAACATTGTATACCACAGACTCACACAAAACCTTGTACATTGTATACCAGAGACCCACACAAAACCTTGTACATTGTATACCATGGTTTCACACAAAACCTTGAACATTGTATACCACAGACTCACACAAAACCTTGTACATTGTATACCAGAGACCCACACAAAACCTTGTACATTGTATACCATGGTTTCACACAAAACCTTGAACATTGTATACCACAGACTCACACAAAACCTTGTACATTGTATACCAGAGACCCACACAAAACCTTGTACATTGTATACCAGGTACCTGGTATGACATCGGGATAAATTTGTATATTATGTATTAGAAAAATATCATAATGTAAATTAAGAGGTCATACAAGGGCTAATTCGAAAGTTGTACTACTAAACAGTGAATCCATCAAGCATGTTTTATCAAAGGTTGATATAGAAAACGACATCCCGTCAATGGTTGAATGTTAACAAATATGGAACAAATATAGGAAAGGAGATTTCACCGTGTAAAAAAATGTAGTAAAGAATAATGCCTTGTGTATAGATCAATGAATTAACACTCCACAATATCAGCGCAAAGAATCGCTAAAACCGTTCACCTTTGCGTTCATATGCATATGAATGCGCATTAGCACTTCATGTTGAATTTGCCTTTATCTAATTGGCATTCATAATACCAAAGAATGCAAATTAAAAACAGTTCAATGCTTGCATACATCATTTTCAATGTTCAATGTTGTAGGTTATGATTATCATTGAAAATAATAAGACCTTCAAATTGTTTATATTACTTATGATAGTCTGTTGGCAGTTCATGAGCTGGTAATACACACTTGACTTCGGTAAGGTAAAATGTCATTGCCCTTGTCAGTCTATCCTATAACTGTGCCTAGGACCGTCCTCAAGGAGACACGGACTATATCCGTTTACAATTCGGCAATTTCTATAATGTACACGAGATGGCATCGTATTCCTAATCTCTGAAGTGACATTACATTATCTTAACATTGTACATGTATCTTTTTCTTCTGAAGATACATTTTTTAAATATCAGACAATTTTGATATCATTTAAGTGACATTTAAGAGACGTCACTCTGGCCAAAGTTGCTCAAACGATGGTTAGAGATCCAAGGGATAGTGGAAATTTTGAAACGTAGATTTCATGATATAATATATTCCAAGTGTTTGTTTTGTATTCATCGTTTTTGTTTTTTCAGCGGTAAAAATTTGAACTTTTTTCATTAACCTCTGATGAACACTATGGACACCTGGGACCTAATGGCGTAACCTTTAGCATGGTATCATCTTCAAGATTATATTGGCTTCTCCTGAAAAGCCATCACAAAAACCACCGTTGTCAACCAACGAGACGCTAAGGCTGTGATCACGTTTAAGATAACATGGTCTTTCCCGAAAGTACAATAAAATCGAACGAATCATTCTCAGTATCATATACCCTAAGTTCCCTGGCAAGTCATATGAAACATAAAGTTATGAATACGTCAAATTAATAAACTTTCATTGAAACAAATATTGCAGTTTTAATAACACAAAAAGTGGCAGTAACATGTGGTAGGTTTCATCAAATCAAAATATGCCAGATTTCATCAAAATAAAATATGAAAGATTTCATCAAACAAAATGTGGCAGATTTCATCAAACAAAATGTGGCAGAATTCATCAGAACAAAATATGGACGATTTCATCAAATTCCATTAAAACAAAATATGGCAGATTTCATCAAAATAAAATGTGGTAGGTTTCGTCAAACCAAAGATGACAGATTTCATTACACAACATATGGCACGTAAACATATTTTGGGTTTATTAAATCATTTATATAAACATAACATTTTAATTCTTCATTTTGCTGGTCTAGATTTTCGTGACATAATCGCATAAAACACAGCCATAAAACAACCAATATATTATAATCAACTTTGATTAAAGACTTCATTCTGGTGCAGACCTTCAAAAGCGGAAATGTTCTTTCATTGTTTCGGTTGATTGCAGACTGTGAAATAATGTACCAATGTTCACTCGGCACACCTTTAGGTATATCCTATAATTATATACAGATATTCAATAGAGCCCCATTGATTACAAGTATTTCAGCTCGGAATTGACTTTTATGCTTCTTTTCGCTTTTTCATTCCATTGACATGTTTTTAAGTCGACGGAAGACAAAAAAAAACTCTCACAAACAATGAGTCATGACGATTTGCATAATTATCAAAAGAATTAATAGAAAACCTGTTTATTTATTCCAGGCTTACGTTTCCTCTGTTTTCAGATATGCGAATACGTATATGAAATGTTTCCTTAGAATATTCGCTTCCTTGACAACGTTTTAACAATTGGAGGTTAGGTGGGGGTAATGTGGTAGGTGAGTTCGGGTGTAGACGTGAGGAAGGAAAAGAATGTAAGAAATAAAATTTGCACGTTCTGGAATTAAGCTTGATAAACTATCTTAAAAAATACTCAATAAATATTCGGTTTTCACAAACTCCTTTGAAAAACAGACGAAGCCGGGGAATATATGATGAAGGAATACGTAAAACCCCAATGGCTAAATAACAAGTACAGCTTAGATCCATGGGAACGAGTCATATGTGACGAGTTAAAACAAAAAGGTCATCAATATTTTCTATGGAATATTTGGATCGGGGATTACTGTGACAATTTATGCACCGGAGCTCATCCTCCGTCTACATGTATCTATTGGCGCGAACACCTCCGCGGCAGACCGGCGTAACTCCGTGGTGGCCTAGACACTGTATACAAGGGCAGGAGAGATATTGATTGCTTATGAGATCTCCATTACATCACCGTAGTCAGCTTAATTTCCTCATTTTGACTTCCCTCAATATACAGTGGAACCTCGTTTATCCGGAGCTAAATTAGTGGGGAAAATTTGTTATCGGTCTGGTTTGTTAAGGTTAAGTGTACTTGCGGACAGTCCATTAGTGTGACTCCAACACGGGGTCCAAAGATTATCAGCTGTATAATATACACATAAAAAAATCTTATATCAAAAACATGCCTTCCTGAAATGTCGCAGCCTTGATATGGAAGCGTAACGCCCAAATGGTTTACGCGTGCCTAAGGATACATCAGAGACAAAGGAATAGACAAAACAGATGTACCAAGTTTTAAAGCAAAATGCGGCACATATAAAACCATTGTCTTCTGTTAGAAGGTCTAAGAAACATACCACAAACAAGAACTCCCGATTCTGCAGGGGCTCGTACCAGGTTTTCCGCTTAGTACGGGTATAGGCAATAATATATTAATGACTCATAGGAATAGTAATACTTAAAAAGACTCCTTGTTTCATAATACCCAGGGCATAAAGGGTTTGATTGTTTCGTATCCAGGTGTATTCATACACCATTTCAACCATGTAATACATCGGTTTTCTGTGTGATTTTAAAAAGTTGAAAATGACAGAGCTCCTCGTTGGTTCGGAATAGACAGGTTTTCTCAATACAGAATTTATGGGACACTGGAGCCTATAACTGTATGTCTGATTACACAGGTTTGTTAATAACTTATGATCTAGGATAAGAAACGCAGTGAATTAATTCTGTTATAAAAACCGATTTAGACAGGTTTTACTGTATTATCCGACCGTGGACACTGATGCTTGTCTCTGTATTTCACCGCTTGAAAAAAAACACTGAGGAAATTGAATTTATCTTAAGACAAATACATAGGCTAGTATTGCAAACTGGTGAATTTTTAACTGTTATACACGATATACAAGCTATATATTGATACTTCATTTCACAATACCAAAGACTATATCAACATAATTTCTGTCTGTTGGATTACGTTTATGGGTCGGATGCTTAATGTGTATATACTCGTAATGTCTCCCTTCGCTAACTCACTATCAAGCACACAGCACGTGTTTTGTCAAAAAGAAACCGAAAATAAAATTTCAAGTTCAACTTTCAGATATGAACAAAGATGAATTGTAAAATACGAAGTTAGTGTTTGTACAAATATAGATTTTATACATACCTGTCGTGCTAGCTGCGGGTTCCTCAGTTCCAGCGTTCATATCTGTTAATGGACGTTCACACTTGAGAACGCACGAACGATGCTTTTAATATCGTTAGCACTGGGTATATACACACGCTTGACAGCGGTAGTCGTTTTAAATTAAACACAATTTCAATTTTCAGACAGAATATTTGTCGACGGTAACTATAATTCTGGTGAAAATTTGTACTTTGTGTGCGCGCGTGTGTGTATTTGCGTTGTATGAGTGGTTTTGAATATATGTTCCATTTTCCTCGGTCGAGACTTGTGGAGTTAGACTATTATGTGAAATACCAAGGTGAATGTCAAACTATGTATAGTATTTAGTAACGAACGTTCTCAAGGTCATTTGAGCACTTGTTATTTCAGGTTTATAGATACTCCTGTAAGTAAACATACAACCTTTGTGCATCCAGCTATGTCAGCTAAAAATTAGGACAACATACATGTGTATAAAATACATGTAAATTTGAGAAAACGTAAACTTGCACATGTGTAACACAGCAGTAAGACTGCGTTTATTGTGTTACGTGGTTTAAGTGGTATACTCCAGGGCCCGTGTCAGTTTCGCTGTACGGTATACACCTTTAAAAGTGCACGATACACAGGTTTGTGTACGTCTCACCTAGCAATAAAACATATGTGTACAGATGTTCAGGCGTGACAGTCAAATAAACAAATTCGTGAAGGGACAAAAACACACGGCAGGTATAGTGATTTTAGTGTGTCAGACAGCTGTGGTTGGTTTGTATTGAGTAAATCATTGTTGCCTTACTTTGGCACGTCATTTAATTACGATCTCTGCAATTACAGAATAGAACTTGTTTGTGTGCACGAACATCAACACAAATTCCTCGTCCTAGTTTCCGAATGATTTTTTCGACACCTGTCGACATCGGATGTACATCGAATCAGAACCATGCGAAGCAAACTCCTTTAACAACTGTAAACTATATTTAAATGGCTTTTTATATAGTAGTCGTAAAATGTGAACCACGCGGAACAAAATACTAAACAGTAATATAAGAAATGATATATTGATGCCACTACACAATCGTAAACATTGAAAAAAAACCCTACACACACAGGAGGGCATTCGTAGAAGAGGGTCTGATACGTAAATAATTGCTTGTAAGCTCGTAGAAACACAGGGGCTTGATACATTAACGATTGTTTGTAAGCTTATAGAAACACAGGGGCCTGATAACTTTATAATTGCTTGTAAGCTCGTAGAAACACAGGGGCTTGATACATTAACGATTGTTTGTAAGCTTATAGAAACACAGGGGCCTGATACATTAACGATTGTTTGTAACCTCGTAGAAACACAGGGGCCTGGTACGTTAACGATTGTTTGTAAGATAGTAGAAACACAGGGGCCTGATACATTAACGATTGTTTGTAAATCCGTAGAAAAACAGGGGCCTGATACGTTAATAATTTGTTGTAAGCTCGTAGAAACACAGGAGCCTGATGCGTTAATGATTGTTTGTAAATCCGTAGAAACACAGGGGCCTGATACATTAACGATTGTTTGTAAATCCGTAGAAACACGGGGGCCTGATACGTTAATAATTTGTTGTAAGCTCGTAGAAACACAGGGGCCTGATACGTTAACGATTGGTTGTAAGATCGTAGAATCACAGGGGCCTGATACGTTCATGATTAGTTGAAAATCCGTAGAAACACAGGGGCATGATACGTTCATTATTGCTTGTAAATCCGTAGAATCACAGGGGCATGATACGTTAACGATTGGTTGTAAGATCGTAGAAACACAGGGGCCTGATACATTAACGATTGTTTGTAAGATCGTAGAATAACAGGGGCCTGATACGTTCATGATTGCTTGTAAATCCCTAGAAACACAGGGATCTGATCCGTAAATAATTGATTGTAAACTAGAAGATATTAACGACAGGATCTGTATAATTCCATCAGGGACAATAACTCGCATTACATTATGTATGAGAATTTACAAGTATGTGATTCCGAACTGGCATATGTATCCAAAGTAGGTCATCGTGACCTCTGAGTTGACGTTTGATTTTAATGCCCTTATTATAACTTACATTGTATAACATAGAAAAAGTGGACTTTAATACTACGATCAGAACATGAATATACCAATGGAGTTTTCTAAGGTATTTCCATAACGATTTAGAAATTTACTAAGTAACAAATACTTATAGTTATGTATTATCTACTTACATGAGGTTATATGGATCTAACGTATACAGAAATGTCTAGAAAAGTTTTACAGACAGTTGGTGTGTATTGAAGCATTTTTATCATAAAGATGGGCGTTTTTATTTGTAGATAGTTCGGCCGATGTTGTTTATATTTCTTTGTTTGGCCTATAAGTAAACATATAAAGACCCCCATGTAATCGCATTGATCCTTAATGATTTCAGATTTAATCATAAGCAGATGGGCTCTTTAAAGCGACCAGGTGAAATACATGCCGATCCCTGTGGCTTTATCGGCCAGCTCCAGTGATCCTTTACAGACTGGCAGATTTTAGCACAAAAATAAAATACAACATAGGACAAATTCGAGCACATACAAAACAACAGATAAATAAACAGATAAGTAAATGATATACACTATACTAATGACGAGTTTATATAACATGTGCTTTCCTGGTCCAAAGTACATGTTTTTTTTCCTGAGAGGTGTTTCCTAATACATTTTATCTTTGTTGTATTCCTGGTGGTGAATGTTTGTAGCGGGTGGTCATTGTGGAAATGGACATTTCTGGTAGGTCTCTTTGATAGTTATTCTTTTTGCTGGTGGAAGTCTATTGAGAGCGATCGTAATCCCAGTAAAATGTTTGGGGTGAGTTTGATGTTCCTGGTAAAATGTTTGAGGTGAGTTTGATGTTCCTGGTAAAATGTTTGAGGTGAGTTTGATGGTCCTGGTTAAATGTTTTAGGTGAGTTTGGTGTTCTCGGTGAAATATTTGAGGTAGATTTGGTGTTCACGGTGAAATATTTGAGGTAGATTTGATGTTCCAGGTAAAAATGTTTGAGGTGAGATTGATGTTCCCGGTAAAATATTTGAGGTAGATTTGGTGTTCACGGTGAAATATTTGAGGTAGATTTGGTGTTCACGGTGAAATGTGTGAGGTAGGTCTGGTGTTCCCGGTGAAATGTTTGAGGTAGATTTGGTGTTCACGGTGAAATGTGTGAGGTAGATTTGGTGTTCACGGTGAAATATTTGAGGTAGATTTGGTGTTCACGGTGAAATGTGTGAGGTAGATTTGGTGTTCACGGTGAAATGTGTGAGGTAGATTTGGTGTTCACGGTGAAATATTTGAGGTAGATTTGGTGTTCACGGTGAAATGTGTGAGGTAGATTTGGTGTTCACGGTGAAACATTTGAGGTAGATTTGGTGTTCACGGTGAAATGTGTGAGGTAGATTTGGTGTTCACGGTGAAATATTTGAGGTAGATTTGGTGTTCACGGTGAAATATTTGAGGTAGATTTGGTGTACACGGTGAAACATTTGAGGTAGATTTGGTGTTCACGGTGAAATGTGTGAGGTAGATTTGGTGTTCACGCTGAAATGTGTGAGGTAGATTTGATGTTCACGGTGAAACATATGAGGTAGATTTGGTGTTCACGGTGAAATGTGTGAGGTAGATTTGGTGTTCACGGTGAAATATTTGAGGTAGATTTGGTGTTCACGGTGAAATATTTGAGGTAGATTTGATATTCACGGTGAAATATTTGAGGTAGGGCTGGTGTTCTCGATGAAATATTTGAGGTAGGTCTGGTGTTCTCGGTGAAATATTTGAGGTAGATTTGATGTATTTGAGGTAGATTTGATGTTCACGGTGAAATATTTGAGGTAGATTTGGTGTTCACGGTGAAATATTTGAGGTAGATTTGGTGTTCACGGTGAAATATTTGAGGTAGATTTGGTGTTCACGGTGAAATGTGTGAGGTAGATTTGGTGTTCACGGTGAAATATTTGAGGTAGATTTGATGTTCACGGTGAAATATTTGAGGTAGATTTGGTGTTCACGGTGAAATATTTGAGGTAGGTCTGGTGTTCCCGGGGAAATGTTTGAGGTAGGGCTGGTGTTCTCGATGAAATGTTTGAGGTAGGTCTGGTGTTCTCGGTGAAATGTGTGAGGTAGATTTGGTGTTCACGGTGAAATGTGTGAGGTAGATTTGGTGTTCACGGTGAAACATTTGAGGTAGATTTGGTGTTCACGGTGAAATGTGTGAGGTAGATTTGGTGTTCACGCTGAAATGTGTGAGGTAGATTTGGTGTTCACGGTGAAATGTGTGAGGTAGATTTGGTGTTCACGGTGAAATGTGTGAGGTAGATTTGGTGTTCACGGTGAAATATTTGAGGTAGATTTGGTGTTCACGCTGAAATGTATGAGGTAGATTTGGTGTTCACGGTGAAATGTGTGAGGTAGATTTGGTGTTCACGGTGAAATGTGTGAGGTAGATTTGGTGTTCACGGTGAAATGTGTGAGGTAGATTTGGTGTTCACGGTGAAATATTTGAGGTAGATTTGATGTTCTCGGTGAAATATTTGAGGTAAATTTGATGTTCACGGTGAAATATTTGAGGTAGATTTGATGTTCACGGTGAAATATTTGAGATAGATTTGGTGTTCTCGGTGAAATGTGTGAGGTAGATTTGGTGTTCCAGGTAAAATATTTGAGGTAGATTTGGTGTTCACGGTGAAATATTTGAGGTAGATTTGATGTTCACGGTGAAATATTTGAGGTAAATTTGATGTTCACGGTGAAATATTTGAGGTAAATTTGATGTTCACGGTGAAATATTTGAGGTAAATTTGATGTTCACGATGAAATATTTGAGGTAGATTTGGTGTTCACGGTGAAATATTTGAGGTAGATTTGGTGTTCACGGTGAAATGTTTGAGGTAGATTTGGTGTTCTCGGTGAAATGTGTGAGGTAGATTTGGTGTTCCAGGTAAAATATTTGAGGTAGATTTGGTGTTCACGGTGAAATATTTGAGGTAGATTTGATGTTCACGGTGAAATATTTGAGGTAAATTTGATGTTCACGGTGAAATATTTGAGGTAGGTCTGGTGTTCACGGTGAAATGTGTGAGGTAGATTTGGTGTTCCCGGTGAAATGTTTGAGGTAGGTCTGGTGTTCCCGGTGAAATGTTTGAGGTAGGTCTGGTGTTCCCGGTGAAATGTTTGAGGTAGGTCTGGTGTTCCCGGTGAAATGTTTGAGGTAGATTTGGTGTTCACGGTGAAATATTTGAGGTAGGTCTGGTGTTCACGGTGAAATATTTGAGGTAGGTC